CTAACACAGATGATTGAAGTGATGACGATTCAGAACATTAGTTCAGCCATATCAATGAAGCATTTGAGAGCGCATTCAGGAATCCCTATTATCAGTTATATTGTTTAACTTTTTTATCAAATGCATGGTTTTTTTACATTTTCCATCATTTGCAAGTCAATCAAAGATTCACTATTTTTTACTTGAAAATATGATGGAATAAAACAAAATGACGCTTCTTTGTTATGAAACAATAGTCAGTTCATAATTTAAAATTTATTACTCCCTGCGTATTTAATCCATATTTAAAAGTTTGCTACACTTTTTTGTATGAGATTTATTAAAAACTTGCTACATTTTCTTTTTTTGGTAAGTTTTCCTTGAAAAATACGCAATTATCTTTATTTTTCTACTTTTCATCTCCTCTTTTTTACTTTTTCACTTTTTCTCCTACTTTTCAACACTATTCATTATCCCTATTATTTCCTTCTTAATTATTGTACCAAGATCTAGAGTATGTTTACAAAAGATTAAAAAAGTGATTTTCCGCTACTGAAAAAAATGTTTTCAAGTGATAGCTTCTATTCAAATTAAACACTTAAAAGTTACACTAAAAGTTAGAATCTATTTTTTTCTATTACACATATTTCACAAAACACTTCTATTCAAAATCAATGGAGGCCCATCAATAGTAAAAGTTAGCTAACTTTTACTATTCAAAATCAATTTTTTTTATCAAACACTGTAATTTTGTCCTCAACGAAATTACACTTAATTTAAGTGGAGGGCAAAATAGATATTTTCGAAATTAAATGGAGGCCCATCTGCGCACCAAGTGGCCAGAGAGATGTTCTTCTGCGCACCAACCAAGTAGCCAATCAGGCAACCAGCAAGCCCACCTCTTCTTCTTAGGGCACCTCCAATGCAATGGTGCATTGCATTTCCACATCACCAAATGAGCACCTTGATAAAGAATGTAGTCTCCAATGCAAATAGAAATAGACAAGGTCATGTTGAGTTGGCAAGAGAGAGAAATGGACAAAGTGCACTAGGAGGTCCATTTTGGGACCTTGGGTCTCACCCTCCCTTCTCAACACAAAAGTAAATATTTAATCATTACTTTAATTTTTTACATAGATATCTTTTGCATTGGAGCATGGAATGAATGGACCCTCCTCAATTTATTTATTTTGACCACATGCTCAATAGACCCTCTCCATTAATTGTACACATAAGCAGATATCCACCCTATGGGTTGGAGATGCTCTTAGTTCCGCCGTTCTGCGCAACAACAATCCAAGGTTAGCCAGCAATACCATTAGGCCAAAGACGAGCTTGGGGTGACGCCGTTCTGCCCGTGCCGGGCTGTCGGAGGCCCGGAGACCTTCCCTTTTCCCGTTTCCCGTAAGTTTTAAAATTTACTGTCTATTTGTGTTAGTTTATTTATTTATTAAGGAGTATTATTGTTTCTATTTTTGAAATTGTTAATTTTGTGTGCAAGTTTATGGTAGACTTTATTCTTTACTAAACCGATTTTATAAATTGTTAAACTTTTTTGTGCAAGTCTATTGTAGAGTTTATTTATTGATATTTTTACATTTAATAAATTGTTAATTGTATTGTAATTGTGGATTTGGTGATTTAATTTCTTATAATTATATTTTTACAATTATACTCATTTTACTTCAATTCTAGTCTTTCTAGGTTGTTTGACAAAGAGTTCCTATTAAAAGAATTTATACACCGATTCTTAGGTAGTTAAGGGCGGAACCTTTTTAGATAATATGCCCTCCAGGATCCCGAGCTAGTTCCGCCACCGCGAGTAACGGATAGGAATAATTTTAAGTTTTTGATTTCAAACAAAGCCATATATTAAAGAGTTAATTATCAAAATAGGACTAAAAGTCATTCACTTTGCACAAATAGGACCAAAAAATAAACTATGCTTCCATAGGACTAATTATGTGTGTCTTGGACAAATATACTCTTATACTTATTGGAATGTTTTAATTCATAATAAAATAATAAAAAATAATAAAAATTCGTAAAATATACCAAAAAATTAATAAAAATATTTTGAATAATAATAAATTTTAAAAAAAAAAATTAAAAAAAAAATAAAAAAAATTAAAAAAAAAAATCAAAATTTTTTTTTGTCACCGCCGCCTCTGCCGCCCCAGCACCACCACCTCTAGTCATTTGGGAAAAAATGCCAAATTTATTATGAATTCCATATTTTTGGCATAATTCAGAATAATTTAAGATGGAAGAAAAAAATGTTGGCATTCTCAAAGAGAAATATGCCATATTTTTGGCATTTTCCGAAAAAAATGGAAGTTTGTAGGAAATATGACATTTTTTTTAACGGTCGGAGGTGGTGGTGCAGGGAGGCGGTACCACAACCTCCTGTCACCGGGGTAAAAAAATGCCAAAAAAATTATGAATGCCATATTTTTGACAAAAGTCAAAAAGATTCAAGTTGGCAGAATGAAAATGTTGGCATTCTCATAGAGAAATATGCCATTTTTGTGGAATTTAAAAAAAAGTGGCATTTTTTACACCGATCGGAGGTGGTGGTTCAGGGAGGTAGTACAGGCGGTGGGAAAGGTATCCATATTTTTTTTAATTTTTTTATGGAGTTTTACTATTTTTTATTAATTTTCAAAAAAAAAAACTAAATTTTTTTTTCTTTTTTTTTATTGGGAGAAATGGCTATATAGCTTAAACAAATAGGTTACTTTTAGTTAATAACCTCTATTATTTTTATTAAAGAATATAGCACTTTATCAACAAATATAAAAACACGGTAGAGTTAAATACAAGGCTCAATTGTGTTTGATAATTAAAAATGCATTTGGATAATATCAAATTGCATGCATTTCGGTGTTTACATCTTACATGTATATACTCATAAACTTCTAGGATAATTTAAAAGGCTATGCACTTTATTTTTGTAAATGTATAACATAAACTTAAATGTACTTATTAAAAAATGTATACACACCCAATTATCTCTTTTTTATTTTATAAAAATTTTATTAATTTTTTTATTATTTTTCTACGAATTATTGAAATTTTTTCGAATTTATTATCAATTAAACATTTAATTATGACTTTTAGCTATCTTTTACTAATATTTAAAGGAGGGGTAAGAATGGAATAAAGAAATGAGTATGTTTCCAATAGGACCACTATGGTCCTATTTTGGAATAAAAAACATAGTAAGTCCTATTTTGAGTTTTTGCCATAGTTTTAGTCTTATTTGAAGTAATTTCTATATATTAAAACAACAAAATTATAAATAGTGCGTATAGAGAAGTTTTTCAAAATTTCCGAGATCTTATGTATTTTTGTTTGATGCATTTAGATGCACTTCACATATACTACGTACTCCGTAATAAATAGATATATATTGCTTTGTTTAAATTTTAGTCTTCGAATCTAGCCATTTAATTGAAGTGCAATTTAGTTTTTTACTCGATATATAATACGAATTATATATTTTTATACTACCTCTGTTCCTAAAAATCCTTCCCGGTTTGACTTGGCACGCTTATTAAGAAAGTGAAATAAAGCGGAAATGTATGGTTGTGGTTGTGTAAGAAAAAGGGAAAGTGAGAAGTATTTTTGGGAACGGCCCAAAAAGGAAAGTGGGAAGTATTTTTGATAACGGAGGGAGTAATTAATTTCTTGGCCAACATTTCTCTTAGGAATAATCACTAATTATGCAACACACTACAGATCAGTGGATCACTCACTAGTATTACCAAAAACTAAGTATAGCCGTATAGGACTAAAAAAGAGACATTTTTTAGTTTTCATTGCACTTTACTTAACGACCCCAATGACCACTTCCGACCACAGTGACCAACGTCGGCCAGTGATTAACTGGACAGTGACCCTGCCACCGACCACAATGACCGCCACTGGCTCCAGTAACCAACACTGCCAGCTAGTATACTGCAGTCTGCAGTTCATAACATGGCAGTGACCACCACCACCATAGTGACCAATTTTCAACAATCTCTTCCAGAAAAATCAGCAACACCGCAACCCTGTCCCGCTAGTACCGCGGCATTTCGCCCTGCTGGGTGGCACCGCCTACTGCCCACCTTCCCAGCCACCCCCAACCCAGCCCATCTCCCAAATTCTTGAACCACCCCTGCCCCTCCATTCCCCAACCTCCACACCATCGTCACTACCCCACCCCACCCAACAACCTCTGCCCAACCCCAGTCACAATCGCCCTACACTCAAATCCAAAACCCTAGTCGCGAATTAACAAGGCGGATGACAACATTGATGTACAAGAAAGATGTTTCCGGCGATGGCGGGAGGCATAGGTGATGGCAGAAGCGCAATAGACGCTATCGACAACGGAAGCGCGGGCAAGACAGGCGATTGGGAGGCGTGGGTGGACTGGAGGCACCGGCGGTGGCTTGCAGCCGGGAGTTTAGTGGAAAACGCCAGATCTGAAAAAGAGAGAAGAAATGGGGATATTAGGGGTTGATATTCTGTTTAGGGAAAAGGTGCAAATAAGCTCACGTACTAACCAAAAAAGGTCAAATAAGTCCTTATATAGGAGGCTTTGTCCGGCCGTCATCATTTGGGGCAGTTCCCGGTGCAATTTTTTGATGAAATTTTGTGAATATTTTATTCATTAAGTCTAGTTTACCCATACCAAATTTCAGCTAACAATTCAATCGGGAAGGCATTCAAATGAATTCTTGAAGATAACTGCGCAGTTATTTTCAAGAATTCATTTGAATGCCTTCTCGATTGAAGTTTTAGTTGAAATTCGGTATGAGTAAACTAGACTTAATGAATAAGATTCTCAAAAAAATTCATCAAAAAATTCTACCGGAAACCGCCCCAAATGGCGACAGCGGGACAGAGCCTCCTATATAAGGGCTTATTTGACCTTTTTTGGTTATTACGTGGGCTTATTTGACCCTTTTCCCTTCTATTTATATTAGGGATATTGCTAGTTCTAATATATTTTGTCTCTTTTTTGTCCAGATAAAAAATGTGCCCTATTTTTTGTCTAAAGGAAGGCTTGTAGTATAATTTTTTTCATTATTTTTTGTTTCAAAACATTCTATTTTCTCCTTTTTATTTTTCAGTATGTGTGCAATGTTGTATTCCTTTGATTGGAATACAAGCAGTTTTTCTAGATCTAATGAAATACTTGTTGCTGAAAAGAGCAAATATCCGCAGTTTGAATATACATATCATGAAGATCGAGAAAGTTATTGACTGAACGGAGGCAACGGAATTGCGGTCTACAATACGGCCAGTCATCTGGCCTCCTATAGTCCATATTTGTATTTTGTGGTTGTGTTTTATCACTTCAATGAGTGAAATCAGTTTATCCAAAGAAACTCAAGAATCTGGAGATAGTGATTTACCCAAAGGAGAAGAATTTGGAGCTGAAAATGTAGAAATTTATTCCCAGGAAAATGTTAGGGGAAAAAATCGAATTAGGGATTCAATTGATAGGATCAGTGCATTACCGGATTGCTTACTTGTTCACATCATATCTTTTCTGGGTGTGAAGAAAGCTGCTGCGACGAGTATTTTGGGGAAAAGATGGCAGTTTCTTTGGGCTGAATTGCGGAGCCTTGAATTCAAATTTTATGATTGGGGTAAGAATAAGGAAACTAAGAATACAATTGACTTTGTGGCGTGGGTTAATAGGATCATTGCTACTCGTCGTGGAAATTACCTTGAGAAGATGATGGTTGATTTCAAGTATGAGGATTGCTTTGCTCCAGATGTTGATAGCTGGTTCGAGTTTGCCTTGAAGAATAAGGTGAAAGAAATCACTTTTGGCATAAGCTACAGCAAAGATTTCTACATTCTTCGTGAATTGATGTATTCGAATTCATCCCTGACATCATTGTCTTTGGAAGGTTGCATTTTTTATCCTGAAAGATCAATCAAGTGGTCATCTTTGACTAAATTAAAGATATCAGGAGTGAATTTACCTCAGTCTGTAGTTGAAAAGATATTATCAGGTTGTCCTGTCTTGACTTCCTTGGATCTGAGTCATTGTTGGGGATTCACTTGTTTGGAGATCAGCTCTCAAAATCTATCTGAACTGCGGGTAATGGACCCTGAAAATGAAGAGAGTGGGGGTTTCCTGCATATTTCAGCACCATACATAAAAGATTTGAATCTTTGGTTTTCTGCTGTAAGAAGACAGATAAAGTTCAAAGACATCTCATCTCTAATCAGTGCTCATATAGATTTTAGCGAACCCTTTTGGGATTCCTTTTGGGATTTGGTAATCTCTGAGGATGTGCTGAGTAATACAAAGGAAATTTTTGAAAATATTCACCACGTTAAGGAGCTTGAACTGGGTCATGAACTACTAAAGGTATGAAGCTCCAAGCTTTTTGGCAATTCTTGCGTTTCAAAATTTACAATTCAAATGATCTAGCTAAACTTATAATTATGTCGCTCTAAAGGATAAAGGAGTATTTTTTTTTGTTTCTAAAGTTTTTTTTATTGATAGAACTAATAAATATTTTCTAGCATACCTCATAACGAAAAGATTCATGAACTTCTTATAACTAAATATAAAAACTTTTAAATTAAGAACATGTATATTCTTGTGTAGAAAAGACCTTTTTAAAGTAAAACTGCTAAACAGAAAATAATGTTTTTATTAAATACTCCGTAAAAAGATGGATATATTGTACATACTATAAAAAAAAAATTAAACTTCCCCTTTTTATACACAATACGTCAATACTATATAATCATACTCTTTATTGTTCCAAAAAATCAGAAAAATGTGTTTTCTTTAACGTGTATAGGTCACAGATATGCGTAGTATATTTTTTCCTTGACCTCTTATATTTCATTTATTATCCAGTTTGTTTGAATTTTTTTTATGTTGCAGGTTTTATTTTTTCTAATTATTGTGTCACTTTTATTTTAACCAAATTGCAACACTTTAAAAAAAAACTGGAAAACCACACCAATTAAATCGTGGTTTCATGCTTTGAAAGTCAAAACCACCGAATCAAACATTAAAATTGATTTCATTTTTTATTTTAGGTCAAAACTAAACTCACCCCTATTCAAGAATTATTTTCTTGTGCCGAATATATGCAAGCAGGTCTTCTGTTGAATATATACTGTTGCATATAGATAACAGTCTGACAACAATCTTCTGTTGCATATTAATGCATAGTTATAGCTGGCATCTTAATGGTTCTCAAGTATGCATATTGAGAAGGGTAAAATTGAAATTGCACATCAATTTATTTGCTAAAAATGAAAATGAGAACATCAATTTGGGACATCCCAAAAAAGAAATAAGGGAATATCAAATTGGGACGGAGGGAGTACTATGCAGCTATAATACAGAGTATGTGTTTTTTTGCAACATGTATACAAGGCTCTAGCTGCACTTGTGCTTAATGGTTGGCATCTTCCAAAATATAAGCTAAGGTGCTTGAAAGTAGAACTGGTATGTGAAGCTGGGCAAACAATTTCTGGCATTTTTTCTGTGCTGGAATCTTCCCCTGACATTGAGACATTGGTCCTATATTCTTATGACTTCGAAGCGGTAAGCGTTAACTATTCAAGTCTTGATTTTTGGTATGAATATTTGTTTGATTTTGTTTAAGGTAATTAACATGTATGCTCTGTTAGTTAATATGTTTGCCTTAAATTTGTTGTGATTTTAGTTGGACCATGACTGGACCCCAATTGCAAGGGATAATTTGGTTTGTGACTTATGGCATTTGAAGACGATCAAAATGTCTAGGTTGGCAGATCCAGAACTTGCTGGTGATCCAATGCTTACGTTGGCTCGAATCCTTCTTAAGAGTACACCGGTATTGGAAGAGATGGAGATTTCTCTTCGTATCGAAGATACAAATGACTTTGTCAAGATAGGTCAAACCTTGCTCAACTACCCTAGATCTTCACCAAAGGCTGTCATCGATCTCTATTAAATTGTTGGCTATTATGTGTTCATTTTCTCAACTATGTAAACATTTACTCCCACTTTTTTTCCCTATTTGTGATTTAATGCCGAGACATCTTATTTCAAAACTTCACGTGTACTTACGGTAGAAGGTTATGAAGGTGGACAAGAAATATTTTATAGTTTTGAAAAAAGTTGAAATGAGTGTTTTATAGTGACTGCAGTGCTTAAATTAACGATTTAAAAGCAAAAAACCGGAAGTGGATATATGTTTTGAGTGTTTTTCACGATTTCTATTAAAAATACCAAACTCAAGTTTTACTTTTTCAAAAGTGCTTTTTTCTCAAACATCACAAGCATAACTATTAAACATGTTTTCTAAAATCACTTTAGAAATCATTTTTTAAATTAGAATCAATCGCAAAGACTCCATTGGATTGGAGTGTGGGGTTCGGTTAGTCTACTTGTTTTTGGCATTGAAAATATGTAATTATTACGGACGAACTGGTATATTTAGTGCAGAATTGCAAATTATATTATAGTAACGTATACCTCTAAATTTAGTTAAATAAAACAACATTGACTAGCAGGTTTGAGTTTCAAAGTTTATATAATATTTCGGGCTTCTGAAAGGATTTATGAGAACGTACTTTCTGAAAAGGGAAACATTTTTTGGTATGAATACCTCTCGTTTTTTCAACAAAAAAGAGGAGGGAGAATTGAAAAAAAACAAAGGAAATCCAGGCATTAATTTTTATGGAGGATTTTGCTATAGGTAAAACTATAGGAAATTTGTCACTTGTCTGTTTTCTCCTAATTATATGTGTATCATCTGCCTTTATGAGTGAGGGTTACAAGTTGAGGTTATTGACGCGAAGATAGTTAATTGCTTAGCTTTGGTCGCACTCATTTAGGGGTGTGTCCCCAATATGGATTCTAATAGATTTTAAAAGAATTTAGAATTCCATCTGAATTTGGGTGTCCTGAATTTGGATTTGTGTGGAGTCTGCTAAAATCCTGGTGTCCTCAAAGTGTCCGTGGATTTTTTAACTTTAGATTGCTAAGGATTCCCATGGATTTTCAAAGCTAAAATACAAAGGAAAGAATACACGGAAACTCTTTGCGCTCCCCACACAGTTTTCTTTGGATTTCCCGTCGAGAGCAAACCCAAGCCAGATGAAAGCCAGGCGAAGAGAACTCACCTCGTCGGAGATAGGCTGTCGTTCTGCCCCTTTTCTTCTTCAGTAGCGGAAGTTGCATCAACCTAAGGGAGAAAGGCAAAAATCTTCAGACCTGGCGAGCGGCAAAACCGGATGCTAAGGCTTCATGGTGGCTAGGTGTTAGACCCCTTTTTGGCCCATGAATTTTACCGTGTAACACTGGGGATTGTGGATAGCAGCACCGCCGTTCACTTCCACCGTTCTACAGCTGCCGTTCTGCGTTTCATTTGGCTTCCCACTGTTTATTTTGTTGGCAAGTGCGGCTGGCTACAGAGGGATACATGCAGATATACGGACAGATGCTGAGAATTTGAGGGATTTCAAAATCCATGGACAAATTCTATACAATTCCATTTTAATCTTATTCTTTTGAAACCCTTTGAAATTCTAATCGAGGACACCCCTAAACTATTGCTAGGAAATGGTCTCTAAAATTGCAATGAAATGGACCAATCACGTTCACTACGGAAAAATGTCAAGACACTCTAGAGGTTACTTGATGCTCAATTCATTTAAACCTCGTCGACTTTGGGCAAGGTACGTTTCCGGTTAGATACCTTGGAATACCCCTTGCCCCTTTAAAAATATCGGTTGCGCAATACGCACCGTTATTGGATATAGTCAAGGACTTCCTTAACGCTTGGAATACGAAAACACTCTCCTATGCCGGTGAGATAGAGCTAATTCGATCGGTGATCCAAGGGGTCCAATCGTTTTGGCTCCAAGTCTTCCCGGTGCCACAAACTGTGTTGGATAGGATTGTTTCGTTTTGTAGAATTTTCTTATGGGGGGCAAGTTCTCAAAGGTGGCTTGGGAAGACATATGTCTCCCAAAAGAGGAGGGTGGCTTGGGAATCCACAATGCTAGAATATGGAACGATAGCCTCCTTGCTCGCACACTATGGGATGTCCATAACAAAAAAGATACCTTATGGGTTCGATGGGTTAATGGCATATATCTCCATGGGAGAAGTGTGTGGGATTTTATCCCACACAGTCGTGACTCACAATTGATGAAGAGGTTGGGGCAAATTAGAGATAAAATCCGTCGATGCTTTAATAATTTGAATGATACGACTTTGGGCCTTAACTCTAGAAGCATTAATGGCAAACTTGCCTCCGCCAAGGTTTACGAGCTTCTAAGAGTTAAAGGGATCCCTAGGAGTCCGATGAGTTTCATTTGGAAATCCTATATCCCCCCGAAATTTTCATTTAATGTTTGGTTGGCTTTGAGGAACCGGTTGGCTACCCAAGATAGCCTCGGTTATCTCCATATGGTTAATAGATGTGAATTGTGTAAGGGTGGATTGGAATCAATTCCACACCTATTCTTCCTATGTCCATTTACTTGTAGGGTATGGGACAAGATTCGAGAATGGATGGGATTTGGGCATCAAATGTCTACATTGCTTAGCTCAATCAAATGGATTTCGAAGAAGCACAAAGGATCAACGTTGAAAGCAAAAGCGGCCCGAATTGCTCTATGCACCGTGGTGTATTACATATGGCATGCAAGAAATGAGATCCGCTTTGATGATGGCAAGAAGACCGAGGAGGACGTTATAGCCAAGATTAAGCATATCGTCTATAAGATACTCTATAGTATCTATCCATATGAATTGATAAACTTTTGAGTGGGCCAAAATCAAGTGGGAGGCCACGACATGTATACCGCGGTATGGTCACACTGTACACTGCGACATGGATTTTCTGGATGCCGCGACATGGACCTCTTGGATGTCGCGGCTTGGGCACATGAGATACTGCGGCATAGGCATCTTGGATGCCGCGGCATGAAGCAGTGTTTTGGACTTAGGGTGTGTGCAACTTGCAATACCTTTGTATTTTGTTATGATTTGAACCTTATGATTTGTGTGCGTGCATGTGCAGCATCGATGTATATTTTTGAATTTTGATGGGACAAGTATTTATACTTGGTCCTTTTGGCGTAGATTAGATCGAATAAAAACCTCCTTTCATCCCTACATTATGTGGGGGGGGGGGTTAGGAGATCTATGATACTTGATGTATAGTTTTCTTGGGTGTTAATATATATTTACATTTCATCCAAAAAATGTTATTATGGATTTGTTGATTATGTCATCTGCATAATTCTATTAAACTTAGTGAGAGTTTGGATCAGATTCTTAAAACTGATTCTGCTCCTTCAGGAAGTAGAAGTAGAAGCTTGAGTGTTTGGGTGAAAGTGCAGTAGTGATTCTAATGCTCTAATTTACTCCTACAATCAGTTTTTTTAGAAGCCGGGGGAGACCAGCTTCCGAACACTGATTCTGCTTCTGCTTCAAAAAAGAAGCAGAAGCAGAATCAGTTCCAAACACCCCTTATTTTAGCACAAGACCACATTCAACTAGAATCAATCAAATCAGTTCAAATCAGACTAGTAGCATATCTCATATATGGACTTACGATGAGACCAGATATGCAAGAAATCTTTAAAAAATTATAATGGTCAATGAGGGTTAATACCCTTATGGGAATAAAATTGTGTTGGTGTAACACTATAGCTATATATGGTTGTACATTATGGTAAAGACTTAGTACAGTGGCTATTACTTTAGTGCTCTACGCGCGCCTTCCGTTAACTAAAACTACTGTTTAGTTACGTCATCCTGTCCGTTTTTTACTGTTTAGCCATCTTCTTTGTTTCACTTCCAAATCCCTACTCTATCCATTAAATATACATAGGAGACCTACGGTTTCCATGAAAACAAGGGTTTTCCAGAGCACTTAAGCAGTTAAGCCATATCTTTTTTAAGACTAAGAAACATATAGCTTCCTCTCTATCCCTGATCGAAAGAGCACCAGCACCCTGATTCGCTTCCTTCTTCCTCGACCCATTTCTTTTTTAGTGTTTGTCTTATTCGTTTTGCCGTCCATTTTGTTTATTAGCGTTTCTATCTTCTTCGATTCATCCTAACTGAAGCTCCTGATAATTACTACTCACATTCCTTCATTTACAGGTGCTTGCCCGCAAAAGTTGTGAAACCCGAGAGGGCGTGATAAGTGTCTGGTTAAAAATCAGTTGATTGGGAGTGGCTAACGAAATCTCCCAATTCTTGTGTATCACCTCAACACTTTCGGTCAATTGGTATTTCACTTATCCATTACCGGCATTTTAATTGCTTAGCTGTTATTACTTTATTAATTATCTCTGGAAGTAAAGAAGGATCACTATACTAATGTTACTGGTATCAATGGTTCAACCCATGAGCATAATAAGTAATTTTTCACTCTCGTTTTGTGTGTGTTGAAATGGATGCTCCCATAATGTCTAAATTATGATAAATTTGGTTGAAGAGGTTTCCCACATTTCTACAAGGGATGTAATTTATTTGTGTTTAAAAATGACTTTAGGTAGAAAATGATTGGGGGGGATTCAGTTGTGGCTAATTTCAACTATGGAATATTTTCATTCACTCTATATATGCTAAAGTTATGCCATTTTCGATTAGGGTTGCTGCATCGAGCTTGAGCAATCTATTGATTATTAGCGCTGATTAAAAAGATTGTACATTCTGCTGGTACATCACAGATCACTCGGATAAAGTATAGCTAAACTGAATGAACCACATGACATTCTTTACGTGCAGCATATAGTGTCCAATTTAAGTGAGCTACGAGAAGGTTAAAGGAAAGTTAAGATTTTATCTGAGCTACAGAGGCAACAATGTTTATTCTGTCAATGACAATGCTTTAGTTCTCTCAACAACTACAACAGGTAACCATATGCCTCCTCAAAGAGTGCTCTCCACTCGGATGAATACTCGATAGGGCAGATCTTCCTTTTAAATAGAGTTTGTGTTCAATTTATTCTTGTTTCCTTTTTACTGCAGGACTGTTTATCACTTTATTGTAATTAATTACCTGTTTAATTTTTATACATTTGCCATAGATACACTCATGTGCGACATTTGGGCAGCAAATGATCCAAATATGGAGGTATTAGTACTATCGTGTCGACTGCTGACCTATTATCTATTTTTGCGCTCTCTATTGTAGACCCCACTCGAAGTATGCTTTTTTTTCTTTTCATTTGGTGATTGTCATTTACGAGTACTAGAGGTGTGTTTTTATGTGTGTAAACTTTCAATGCGCACCTTAAAGATGTGAATTATTGTGATGCCTTACTGTTGCGTGTGACTTGCATACACATTGGGGGGTTCCATGGGATTTGTCTATCAAGATCCAAGCAAATTGATGCTCTAGAGCAGAAACTTCGTTGAGTGGCGGTTTAGGAGAGAAAAATGAAAACTGGCTTTGAGAAACCTTTTTTGCAGAAAACAACATTTATAAGCTGAAATGTACCTGAAAGTTTGAGATATCTTAGAGAAACCTTACTGGCAGAAAATATTGGCATCTATAAGCTTAAATGTACCTGAAAGTTTGAGGTATCTTGGATCCTAATTATGTCCTTAAATGATATAAAATAGAACTCTAGATTTGAAAATAGCAATATTATTTCATATGATACCTCAAAGTTACCTGAATAGAGTGACGAAGTAATATTATTTCATATGAGAGCAAAATTGTGATACCAACAGAGCTTCGTATTTTGCTTCGTCAACTTCTTTATATAAAATTAAAACCAATTAACCCGAGTTGGAACTTCTTACTTCTATTCTAAACTTACCTGAACCATTCCCTATTATATAGGGACTGCTTGTCGTTTTGACATTTTTGCTTGCCTCAAAGTTGGTACAAATGTTAAATTATTCTTGCTCATCAATATCAAGTAACAATTTCTAGAGTTCTAGGAAAGGAAGAATAATCGTTATTAGAAAGAGATCATTTTTGAGAGAATTAGATGAACATCTAACATTTAAGTGAATGGAAAATTAGACCCAAAATTTGATGTCATTCATATATAAAAAATTATTGCTATATGTGTGTTACTTACCAAACTCTTAATCAATATTGTCTTAGGAGTACATTATCCTTTATTGTTATAAAAAGTGGTAATGCCTTGATCACGTGCTCACTGAACAGGTTATATTAATCTAATTATTTGAAAATTATATAAACTTTGGATCAATATGACAGTCTAAATGTTGGTTTAATTTTCTTGAGTGGAAAAACTTACTGCATTGGTCTCTTTGTTTTCAGTTTTCCCTATGCTTTCACCAATACTAAACTGTTAAGAGTCATTGTGAGATAAGAATATTCCACTATACCATGTTTCTGAAGACATACAAAATTACAAATGACATGCCTTAACTAATGTTGTGGACATCTTTAAATCTAACTCATTTTCATGGGTATATAAAACATCAAATAGGAATATGAATGTCATTTGTGCCTCAAGTGTTGCACTTTTTCCCCTAATGTCTGCCTTTATGTAATAAAGAGTAATGCCACCAACCAATTTTGTGACTCATCATTAAGTTTATAACTAAATTCATCCGATCCATAATACTCTGACATAATTTGCTGGTGAGTTTTACAATTTATGAGCAGCTGAAATCTTTTCTTTGCATTAACTGTCATCATGCAATCTTTAAGTTGTCACTGTCATTTTGATAATTCCTAAAAACATGCCTCTTGACATTGTTCTTAGTTGAATACGTAAAAGAATAGACCCATCTGTTATGTAAATGAATAACATGATAGTCGTGGAAATCCTACCCTTTGACATCTGTATATTGATTATTGTTAATTTCTAGCTAGATTGTATGCGTTAATTTTTTTTTACAACACCAGCATCTCAAGTGTGTTCAGATGCGCAACCGACCTATGTATAATATCAAGAGAGAAAAGTACCACTGATAAGTTGGGGACTTCGATGAATAAGCCAAAATGAAGTCAAATTTCCAAAATGAAGTTGGGGACTGATAAGGTAATGATTTCCAAAAGCATGATTTCAAATTTCAAAATATAATTGAAGTTCATGTTCTTTTATGTAACAATACTAGCGCTTGTAGTTTCTTTTTGTATATTGCACCCAGGCCAACAAGAAACTTGGAGCATCAGTTGAAGTTTACATGGCCTCCTTTTATTTCTTCTTGATGTTGTATGCTATTGTTGAATTTATATTCATGTCTTCATCTAATGAGTTGGTAACGTTTGGAAAGGTGTTTTTCCAATTTCTTTAAAATTTACATTCTTTTATAATATTTGTGCCGGCTCCTACATCACCAACATGTTTATTAGGCAATCTATTAGATAAATGATTTAGTCATATGAAAGTCTTTCATGACAATCATTTTATTGCACTTATTGACTTGAACAATAACAAATAGATAGTAACAAATAGATAGTACTCCGTATGATATATGCGATACGTTTGGGAGTATTTTGATTGAAATTTATTTCTAAAGTAATGTGATACTATTATACCATTACCAAACTAATGTCAATCAATTGTCCTAATCAAAACAATATGCTAACGTTTGGGCACATGAATGACATGTTGGGCATTATTCTAATCGCGCATCGCGCGACATAATACTAGTATTAGTACAAGTGTCAACTGGACAGTTTTGACTTGTTTGTTTAATTAGTATAATTTGGAGTTAAGATAAAGCACAAGAAAACGCATATCCAACTATCCATCCATTAACATTGAAAAATAGGATTTTAAAGGTCCCTTTAGAACTCTAAAGAAATGCTATAAAAGGTAAATATGAAGGAAATTATAGAAGAAAAGTACCTAAGGAAAACTGTTTAGGAAAATGCAAGTTTGGTTCAGATTCAAGTTTATGAATTTATGTTTATTGCTCGTTCTTTAGAATTTACTTTTCAACTTGGAAAGTTGGAAATGCTACTATGCTAGGGAAGGATAATAAAGAAGGAACCGCTAGAAGATACTCCTGGGGAAGAGAATGTTGAAGAAAATAAAAGATTGTTTTTCCCTTAATAAATACAGCATATATCAACAAATCGGCTACATTGGTTAGTTCTGCTTAAATTATAAAAATTTAGGTGAAATAGTTAATTGACTGATTCAACGCATATATATATATATATATATATATATATATATATATATATATATATATACACACACACAAGAGATCAAATACAAACCATGCTTAAAATAATAACCTACAAACTCAATAATATGCAACACTTTGTACTTCAATATGCATACATATAATATAAAGATGCACACTGTGAATTTCAATATGCAATACAAATAATATGCAACACTTTGAACTTCAATATGCAACACTTTGAACTTCAATATGCAATACAAATAATGTAAAGATGCACAATTTGTGACAGTTTGTAGGTTAGCATGGGAAGACTAGTTTGCATGTGATCCCACCCCTATATATATACACACACTACATCCGTCTCCAAAACAACTTCTCACTTTTCTTATTTGGATGTCCCATAGTAAACTTCTCATTTGCATAAATAGTAACTTTTCCAAAAAACAATATCAAAATCACACTTACTTTTTACTTACTTTTTATATGATTTGACATAAAGTAGAGATAATATTGAAAAGTCAACTACCCACTTTAACTTTCCACTAAAATGTGCTCAAGTCAAAGTGGAAAGTTGGGAGTTTTTTAATATGGTCATCTACAATAACTTCGACCAATACAATCAGATAAGTGACTTCAACTTTACTTTTCTTATTATTACACAATTCAGCGTGCGAAATCAAAAGTTCAAATTTGATAAAAAAAAGTTGGCTAATAAACCATAAAACAAGGTCACGAAACGGGCTCCATATCTATCCTTTGTTCATTTTTTTTAAATGTTCTTCTACACTTGAATACTATGAAATCTAGACATGTAAAAATAATAATCAAAGACATTAATCATATTCCAGTATTTTCCAAAATAAAACTAAAAATAAGAAAATAACTTTTCTCGGCATTTTCTTTCCTTTCGCATTTTCCACAATACAAACCTTGCAAAAAACATTTCTATCAAGGAGAATAGATGTATTAATATGTCCCAGACCAAATCAGACCAGACTTGGATAGTTATAAAAATACAAAGAGATCAGACATTACCAGATCAAACCAGCGCAAATTACAGTCCAAGTAAAAACATCCATAGTGATAATCATTCTACACTCGAATTTCCTGCAAACCCACACTTATTGGGAGCAGTCAATTTGTCATAACTGACAACTTCTTATGAATATGTTTCAAAGTCGTAATAGGTAGTAGACTGAAATTGTGAAAAATGATGATCATTTCAACTTCTTGCTAAAATCAGAGAGCTCAAGAAGGTGAATTCTAGAAATTTGTGCAGCTTCCTCTCTCTCTTTTGGAGTGTTGTAACCCCAATCACCTGATGAATCAATAAGGGGTTGAATTGAGGGTTTGAATAAGTGGAAAAGTATTGCTATACGGAGTATATCACAGGGGTGACTGGTGACGTAAAGGGGAGGCTGATAAAGGATGGAAGTTGGAGTAACTTACCTAGATACAAGTTCCATCCATCTAATTCAGGCTCTTTGATCACATTCTTTAGGGTTGCAAGTCGGTCTTCCACAAAGCTGACATAAGTGGGATAATGCTTGTAAGATACCGCCGCATCACACTATAAGCTCAGTAGAAATGACATACTTCTTCCACTCTTTAATAGATAATTACATATATTAGTGACAAATTTGTTTGTTGACATATGAGGAAGTCAGAATAGCAACTAAAATAGAATGAAATGACGACAAGTACATGACATAAGTTAAAATAATAGACATTGATAGTTGGTATTTTGACAATTGACCATGTAGTTGTATTTTTGCCCATGTTTTATTTTGGTCATATTGTAGGAAAAACACCATAGAATGAAATGAATAAAACTTTTAACTGCTTCCATTTAAGCTCTGCTAACCAATAAACTTACTGTAGGGTAAGGCCCTTGTTTTCTGGCATTTCTTGAAGCTCCTTCAGCACTTTTACTTTCGGCCTGATCCAAAAAAAAACATAAAGTGTAGCTTTCAATTAAGAGGGCTGCCTTTAACAAACAGTTGGATGTATAATTTCCAACAGGAAAAAACTCACCCTGTACCTAGACCATAGATCATTCCAGGGGCAATAGTTACGCCAGCAAGCTCACGAAGTAGTGAATAGGCGAAGCGGCTCTGAATTGGAAATGCAGCAATACACATAACTAAGACCCAACTATTTCATCAATTGATGTGGTTGTAAAACAAATATACCTGTTTTGTGGTCACAATGTAGATCTTTGAGCTTGCAAACTTCAGCGCATCTGCTACTCCAGGATAAAACCTGCAGAAGATCAGAAGCTCATAATAATAATAATAGTGAAAAAGAACTTTTGGAAAATGCAAGTAATGTGTTTCCATGCATAACCTTCTTCAAGGAACAACATATGTAGCAAATGAATAGGGTAAAATGCAGTTTTTGTCCGGTAACTGTAGGAGCTTGGCGATATTAACGCTGTTGGATTTTTAGCAATGTGGACCAAGTTCTTATAAAAAATTGTCAATTTGTCTAGAAACCTCCCGAAAATTGAAAAACTTACGAGAAGATACTATTTGAATTAGAGATGAAATGAATTGCAAGTGGTGTAATAGTTTTATTATATTTTTTAAAATGAGCAAATATTCAATTTAATTAAAAATGACAAAAAATGTTTTCTTCTGTTTTCCACCCTTAAGTAGTATGTTTAGCATTTTGAACGGCATTTTTCATGGTTTGAAGACTAAAATACTCATATTTGAAAAAAGGATTAAATTGCCTAAAGAATGTCACAAGTTCTGCGAACTCCATAAGAGTATGTACTGTGTTTTTCAATTTTTTCCCACATGAGAGTAAAATCAGAAGGAAACACGGTAAAGAAATATTCACTCCACCAATAAACATCTTAGGGTGAATTAGCAATCATTTCTGTATGCAGTTTGACACCACATGATATGGGGCAGTGGTAGGTTACTTACCTGTTTGATCCAATCCAAGTATCCATATCATTGTCCATCCAGGCATCCCTGACCTTACCAAAAAGATCAATTAGATCATCTACGTTTTCATTCCATTCTTCGGTAATGAGAGGCTTTATCTCCCTCCAGTTTTCAAGAATATCGTCAACTGTAAGTCCATCTGCAACCTTGAATATTCAACAACAAACTTATAAACATCAGGGCTCATTACTCTCAAGACAAACAAGCACAAAAAAAAGAAAATTTCCAATTAAGAAATCATTAGTGTATCACCACACCGATTTAACTATTTGATAGTTTCTGAATACCAACCGAGGACTTGCGAACGGAAGGAACTCTAATTTCTAACAGAAGCCTCACAAGCAATAGATTTTCATAGCCAAATTCTATCACAGGCCTAACCTGAAACGAACTGCGATGTTAATTATGCATGAACTATATGTTTCAGACATAAATACATCAGCTTTCCAAACAACGAAGATAAAATTGTCGCCGATAGCTCCTACATTTACACATTTAACAAAAACAATCTCCGCTATGAGAAATTTATGAATAATAATCTCAACTCTACAGTAGTTTTCTGCACTGTTAAGGCTCCTTGTTTGTTTTTTCGTTTTGCAAAAAATATCATGAGCTATTTGACCACAATAATTTTGAGCCTAAAATTATTTACAGTATAAATATAATCTTATACTTATTGTGTCCCAAAATAATTTTCTTACTTCTTCTTTATTGTGCCAAATGAATTTCTCCATTTTAAAACAAATTCAACCACCCAAGTCCAAATTCTGAACTCCTGGCCAAACGCAAGTGGAAGGTTATTATGACAAGGAATCCAAGCCATAGTTCCAAAAGAGTTTCGGATCAGTTTATTGAAAATTGTATTAAATAAAGTTAAACCCTTCCGTACTAATATATATATACTGACTAATAATTCAAATTCTATTGAATCGCAATAATCGAATTTGAAAATTATGAAGATTTATTCTACAAATTAGAAATTAGAAGTAAGTTATATAAGTTGATGATGAATTGTTTATGGGTCTTTAAACTCGAGACAGATGAAGTACTACTTTCGAAAAAGTTAAGTTTGGGGTAGGCTAACATGAATAGATATATCATATATAAAAAGCTTAATGGAACTAAATTGATGCTTCAAATTCATTTTAGAACAAAAAACCCAGAAATGGAATTATGTTCGGAACTCCAGAGATGAACAAAAAGCAACTTACAATATGCATATGATCAACAATCCAATCTTCAGACAAAGGATCAACAGTCTTGAACAGACTGGGCCATCTCACTCTAGCAGCCTACAATCAGCAGCCGTGGTAAGAGATCAGATTCAATTAAGTCAAAGCAAGGTTTTAATTATCAGAAATGCATCAATGAATCTACGGAAAATTGTACTTATTAAATAAATAAATAAATAAATAAATAAATAAAATATCAAGAAGCTACATTGTATGACCTTTACGGCAGATAGAGAGCTTTCTCCGCAACTATCACAGAGAACCCCGTCGAAATCCAGGGCATACAAATCACCCATATCCCTGTCTTAGTGGCTCTGAAATGGCAGGGCTTATACTCAACTTTGTACAGTAGCTCTTCTGGTAGAATGAAGTCAATTAAGTGATTAACAGCAAGAAGTGGCAAGAAGTGATGCTTTTGATAAGGGTCAGTTTGGTCAAATAAGTCCCAGATAAAAAATCAATCGGGAAGACATTCAAATGAATTCTTGAAGATAACTGAGTCGTTAAAAGCACAGTTATCTTCAAGAATTCATTTGAATGTCTTCCCGATTGAATTTTTAGCTAAAATTTAGTATGAGTAAACTAGACTTAATAAATAAGATGCTCAAAAAATTTTATCAAAAAAATTCCACCGGGAGCCACCTCAAATGGCACGTCCGGACAAAATCTTCTATATAAGGATTTATTTGACCCCTTTTTTGCAACTTCGAGGACCAAAGTGACCCTTTACTCCAATTAACACTCTTATACATGCGGTTTTGGAGTATATCATTTATAGAAATCCAAATAGAAATATATTTACAGCCAGTGAATATTTGTTATCACAGTTAATGAAGCATTATAAAATATTCAATAATTAATAACAATTAAATATTCAATTGTTGATTTGTACCAAATTAGGCCAAAACAGACAAGATCAGACCAGACTTGGATAGTTATAAAAATACAAAAAGATAAGACCAGACCAGTTCAAACCAGATCAGACCAACAAATTACAGTCCAAGTAAAAACATCATCAATACTTAATTACAAGTCTAATTAATAGTTATAGGTTACAAATTAAATATTAGAAGAATAAAGATATATATACAATAAATATAAACAAAATTGTTAGATAATTATTAAAAACATACACATGCAAAATTAATTAATAGGCATAACATAATAATAGTTTGTTTGGTGACTCTGTTTTTCAACTTATTGGCGAACATTTTTAATTTTGCGCGTTGAATTGTGTAATAACAAAAAACGTAAGATTATAGTTACTTTTGTTGTTGTATTGACTGAAGTTATTGTACATGATTATTTTAGCTATTTTGTCAAAAAAAAATCTTTATTTCATTAATAAAATATTTTAATTTATTTTTTTCTAAATTAGCAAAATTAGCCCATTTAGTTAGAATCAGTCGATTTGGCCAATTTTAGTGTTATCAAACGGGCTCTAAAAATATGGAATGTCCTAATTTTCAAATCTAAAAATTGAACATTGCATTATATTTAGCACGATAAATCGGGATATAAACATTGTATGAAGTACAACGATAATCATTGATATCGTCCCATAAAATTTGACCATAGTTGACTTTCGTGTAAAATACGAATTATGAAAGTAAAAAATACATGATTGGTGTTTATGTAGAGAGAAAAATAACTTTAAATGCATACTCGGTATTTACTACTTTAAATGGAAACTATAATTTGGGGATACGCGGTAGCGTATTTATTTAACAATTTTGTACTCTTTGTATGCGTTAGTGTATCTTTAACAACTATTTTACATGTCTAAAATCTTATAAAGCCCAATGAAGGTTAAGGCTTTTTGGGTATTAAAAAAATGTTGGTGGTATTTGAAAGCAATAAATGTTTGTACAATATATTTAACTTATTGTACTATATTATTATTGTCTGTGGCTCCGTTAATATAATATCACCTGACATTCCTTACTTGCCGTCACCGTTCATGAGCCTACGTTAAAGGACTAAAGGAGTATCATCTACTACTACGTATTACAATATCAATGTTATGAGCTCTCTCTTTCTTTATTATTTATTTATTGATTTCATTTAATTCTTCTCCATTCACTAATTAATCATCCTATCCCTCTATTCGGACTAAAAATTTGCATAATTTTCTTCTTCGCTTGTTGATCCTTTTAAAATGATTTATGAAAATAACTTCTCATCGTCTTCTTGTCCCATTTTAATATTTAGTGTTAAATGCTATATTAATTGGAACTCATTTGATAATATCATAATACTGAAATTAGTTGAATTGATTGAATTTACTGAAATATGTGAAATTCTGTCTCAAGCAATCTGAGCTGTAAAAATAGATAAAAAAACTACATGACAAATAGTTAAAATAATCTTTTTTTCACCAAATTCAGCATAAAATAACCTAAAATTTACTTATTTTGATTATTACACAAAATAAGTACAAATAAGCCATCCAATTTCCTTTAAGATTAATATTGAATGATTAATTTGTCACTTAAGGTTGTTAATTGATACTATCAGGTTAATAAGATCAAAATAAGTACAAATAAGCCATCCAATTTCCTTTTAAGAATTTTATAGGTATATTACCTTTATTTTAAGATGGCTTCAGTTCCAGTGGCCGGGCGAAGAAAATTCTAAAGTGAGTCGTTGCCCAAATAAGCCATCCAATTTCCTTTTAATATGTATCAATGAATTTTTGTGAAAATCTGTTAGTTTTGTTTAAAACTATTTGTCTTACATCGACTATGTTAGATTGCATTATTACCTATCATTTGTAAGTAATTTTCGGAAACAGAAAATCAATGTTTATGTTATATACTACCTCCGTCCCGTTGGAATGTTCCCATAGCAAAGCGGCACGAATATTTAGGCAATAATTAAATAAAATACTTCGAGTATATTTTGAGAAATAAATACTTTTAATGTAGTTAGTATTGATAACTGTGATGTTATAAATGTATTATTTTTAATATTGAATGATTAATTTGTCACTTAAGGTTGTTAACTGTTTCCTAAAATGGAAATGAGAACCTTCTAATGGGACGTACAAAAAAGGAAAATGAGAACCTTCTAACAGGACAGAGAGAGTAAATAATATTGGGCATATATCTAATCGCGCAACGCGCGTAAATAAAACTAGTACTCTAATATAGTTAAATAGTGTTTTTGTCACTTTTAGTCTTCCGAGTATTATGTCATTGACACTTTCGGTATTCGACTTTGAATTTTTCCATTTTTAGTTATCCGATTATTATGTCATTCACACTCTTGATACATTGAAGTCAAGGATTAAAAGTGTCTATCACACAATAGTCAAGGATTTAATATGGAAAAATTGAAAGTGGAAAATTAAAAGTGTCTATCACACAATAGTCAAGGATTTAATATGGAAAAATTGAAAGTACCAAAAGTATAAGTGATCCAATAGCGGAGAGACTGAAAATGGAAAAAACTAATAATTTCATCTGAATTTCTAAACGCAATGGAGTACAAAATGAATATCCCATATCTAACTCTAAGTGACCCATTTAGGGCGCGTTTGGCTTAATGAAGGGTGGGGGTGAAGATGGATAGAGTTTGATAGTTTCACACTAATCATCCTCATCACTCTAAAAGCCCTTGATCGAATCGGAAGGGAGGCGAAAAAACCCAACCAAACGCACTCACTATCTTTTAATTGTGTTTTTTTCTCTATATATTCACACTTTTAAGCTGCGGGCAGGCATGGGAAATTAGCAGCAGGGCTTCCCGCCGATCCGAGCAAAAGTGGTTAAGCCGAAAGCGGTGGCGGCGCAGGAGAAGACAAGAACGCCGCCGGCCCTTTGTCGGGAAAACACCTTGGCCAAGTAGAAAGCAACATCGAAGGTGATCTTGTGGCCGTCCTGGGCGAGGAGGCGGCGGCTTTTGCCGAAGAATGCGAGGAGAACGATGACGGTGATCCAGGTAACGATGGTTGTCCGGACCGCAATGGCGAGCAGGACAGCGGCGGCGATGAGGAGGAGTGAAATGGCGGCGGCGGTGGTCATCCTGGGAATGAGGGAGAAGGAGAGGGATTGGAAGAATTTGTTGTGTGTGGAGGGGACGATGATGAGGGAATTTATCTGCTTGAGGAGAAAATCTAAGGAATGATAGGCGGGGCGGGTGAGCGTGGGATAACGAGGGAGGCATATGGCTGTGATGTGGGCTGCACATGGCATGGCCGGACAGTTGGGTCTTGTGGCCTTCTGCATTACTACCTAAAATAAAAGATATGCCCTCCTTTCCTAAATAAAAGCTCTCATTTAATAAAAATCTTCTTCTTCTTATCAGCAAACAAAAAAGTGCGAAACATTGCAAAATAGTACTACCTTCTTTCCAAAAAGAGTTGCAAATTTGACTTTTCTTAGTCAAACAGTCTCGTTTTGTTCACTTAATTAGGATACCAATTTTTAATTATATTCTAATTTGGAGTTTACGACTTTGAAGAGATTTTAATGTAATTTTTGAATATGTAAATTTTAATTATTAAAAATTGAATTAATTATCCATACGGATGGTTGACTTTTATTATTGGTTGACCAAAAATTGTTGACTTTGCAAAACAAATTGGGACGGAGGAAGTACTACGTATCAAATCAAAAATGACGTTCGTATTCATTTTTATACTCATTTTTGTATTCACCTATGTTTGTGAAGTGTTTTTTTTTCTGTGAACCGAGTTCACAAACAAAAGAAACATTTCACAGACATGGTGCGTATAAGGTGGGTATAAGAGTGGATAAATCAAGCATTGTTGCGTATCAAATAGTAACAAATAGTGTCCAGACAGTGGCAAATAAAAAAGTGTTAAACAGTGCAAAATAGTACTACGTATCAAATAACGACAAAGAGTGTTTAAACAACATCAAACATTGTCAAACAATCTCACTTTCTTAAATTTTAGGAAGTATGTAAAAAGAATGGGACAAACGGAGTACAATCAATTCAAAAAGCATCCAACCAAAAGTGATCATACACACATTCTTCATTCTCCTCTCCTCTCCTCTCCTCTTTATTAATTAAAGGATTGATATGGGGGCTACCATGAGGACCCACATCACGCCACAATTCTCATGGACATGCGGTACACAACGTGATCAAGTGTCATACACGTTTTTTTTATTATCAACATTTATTTATTTATATTATTCTGAGGAGGCCACACACATAGCTAGCAGACTCTTCCAACAAGGCAACAACATGCATGCTCCCATCCATCCGTATATTCTTAGTATCATCATAATCATGTTATTAGTTCATTACTCCATATCACATAACTAATTTAATTTATCCTCCCTCACTTAAAACTTTGTTATTTCTCTTTTGAATTGTTCCAAAACCTAAGTGACTTTTTTTAATCTATTAATTTGTGATACGGGTTATTTTCTTCTCCTCTACACATACCTCAATCACACAAATTTTTACTATATTCTTCTTCATTCTTGTCGAATTTGGCAAAGTTTTAAATAGGGGTGTGCAAATATACCGAACCGGATCGGTATGGTACCGGATTGACAAACGAGGTTTGAAACCGGTCTCAAATTTTTTTGTCCCGAACCGTACCGATTCCAAACAATGTCATGACGGATTCTCGTAAAATGAGAACCGGACCAAAATATGGTTTAATTATTTAAATTTGTACTACTATATTTTATCTGAAATTTATTAATTACCTTATCTATCCCTAATTGATTAGTAAAGTCAACATTTTTTGTTAATGTTAATGCTAAGTCCTCCCTAATAATAATTAATAATTTTTTTAATAATTAAAATTTACATATAGTTAGAAATCACATCAAAATCTTTTTAAAGTTGCAAAATCCAAATTAAAATATACGGAGTACTTTTTTCCGAAAGGCCATATTAGAATAGAATTAAAAAGTGAAATCCTTGTTAAGTAAATAAAAAGAAGTTGTTTGACCAAAAAAGTTTTACTTTGCGAATCATTTGGAACGGAGGTAGTATGAAATATGAAAATTGATAAATTGTGTGCATTTTTACAATTTTGGAGGATGACTAAACTTTAAATTTTCCTTAAATACTTAAAAAAGTGGCATTGTTTGGTATTGGTATGACATGATATTGTCCCGTTCGAAAATGAACCGTACCGAACGGGTTTAGGTCTAAGACCTAATCGAACCATTTCAATAGTAACGGTACAGGTATGGGTTCGGCAAAATATTAGACCAAACCAGACCGTGCCCACCCCTAGTTTTAAAAGATGTGGTAGTAAAACATTGCAACTAGGATTAAATATGGGCCGAGTCCAGTAAGTGATATAGGAAACTAACGAACGAAGCTTGAAACCACAGTCACCATGTTTTTACTATGTTTTTACTTGGACTGTAATTTGCCCCAGACCAGTCCAAACCAAATCAGACCAGTTCAGACCAGACCAGACTTGGATAGTTATAAAAATACAAAGAAACCAGACCTTATCAGACCAGACCAGACCAGTTTAGACCATACCAGACCAGCAAATTACAGTCCAAGTAAAAACATCCTCAGGCCTATGTCACCAAATTTCATTTTTATTTGTGATAATTATCTTTTTCGCCCACTTTTGAAAACTACTCCCTCCCTCCCAATTTGTTTTGCAAAGTCAACATTTTTTGTCAACCAATAATAAAAGTCAACTCTCCTTATGAATAATTAATTCAATATTTAATAATTAAAATTTACATATTCAAAAACTACATTAAAATCTCTTCAAAGTTCTAAACTCTAAATTAGAATGTATTTAAAAATTGGCGTCCTAATTAAGTGAACAAAACGAGACTGTTTGACCAAGAAAAGTCAAATTTGCAACTCAATTCGGGACGGATATAGTACATTTCACTCATGACACATGCTTAACTTTTTTCCTTTCATCTTTGCAGTTCTGTTTTATAACCCTTTTATTTCAGAAATACAGGACTCTTCCTTCTGATTCTCTCTCTTTGACAACCTTTCACTTCAACAATGGCTTGATAGATGCTTCTCGGAGGCTTAACTTCACTAGCTATTTCTAAAATTAAGATAAATTTTGCATTTGTGTTCCATTTTTTCCAAAAGTAATAACGAATTAAGCAATTTTGTGTTATCTTTAGTATAACATCAATTTTCAATATTTAAAAAAATTATTAATTATTATGAGAAATGTGTAACACTCCGTAAAAAATAGGTTAGTTAGGCAGCAAATATAATGTTTGGAGTTAATGACAAAATTAGTATATCGTATACTACCTACAATAAGATTTGACATAATATTTAAGAAAAAGTGGTAGAAGTAATGAATAACGTAAAAAAAAAGTACGAGAAATGGTGAAAAAGTATGAAAGAAGAAAAAAAAAGTAGACAACATAAAAATAATTGAGTATTTTTAAGTGGAAAATTTATCAAAGGAAAAGTATAGCAAAAATTAAAGTGCTTTTTAAAAAGCAGTCACTATTTAAATTTTGAATATCCAAACACAAAATCATGATTCGTCTCATTCCAAACATTAATGTCAATTAATTGTCTATAAGCTTATTTTTCTAATATAGAACCACAGTGTCATTAAACTAATTAGAGCTTGTTCGGGTAATACTTTGGTAATACCCAAATCTGATGTCTTTGCTGATTCTGTTGAAATTTATTAAGTTTTGTCTGAAATGGCAGGATTGCTGATTCAGGTTTATAAAAGAATATATTTAATATATATTTTATTCATAAAATAAAGAAAAAAAATTAAAAAAAAAAACAATTTAGATCATCATCTAGAACAGCTTCAGCCAATACAGTAATTCTATTCTTACATTTTCTTATAATTACACAATTTAGCGTGTGAAATAAAAAATAACGTGTTTGATGAAAAAAGTTAGTTGATAAGCTCGATACTCCAAAAAACATGATCACCAAACGAGCTCATAAGCCGAAAGACATATGGAACAGGAAGCATGTCTCGGTGTTCGCCTGAAAAACTCACAAGATAAAGTCACTAGCTTAGAATCAGAAGTAGATAAACTTAAGAAACTGTATGTGACTTAACCAAGGATCTGGATGAAAATAAGTGAAAACGCTCTGAAGTTGTTACTCATTTTGAACTTTTTAACAAGGAACTTGATCATCTTTATCTATCTAAAATCTTATAAACACCAATGAAGGTAAGGGTAATTTTGGTATGAAAATTGTGTTCGTGTAACTTAGAGCATTATCAGCTTGTATCTTACGTTAGCTATACTATACGCTTTGTCCTCCGTTTCATTTCTACCAAACGAATCCCCACTCCGTTAATTTCCTATCAACTGCAAAATCTCTCACCGTCTAATATTTCCGCCTGCGTATTCATTTACTTCGAGTTTGCGACTGAGGCCTCCCCGTTCGATGCTGCGATTGAAGACGGTTTCTCAATTAGGTTAGGGTTCTCATCATCTTCATTGGTCTAGCACGAGTATATCTTTCTTTTACTTTATTTCATTCAATATATCCCCCACCTTTTGCATCTGCTAACCCTCCGTCATTTGCATTTGAGGATAGAGAGAGGGCTTGATTGTCTTGGGTGGGGGTGGAAGTATGGTTTTAATCTTTAATAGTAAAGTAATGGGGGTTGATATTATGAACTTATGAATTATGATATGGCATCTGCGAGTTATTATAAGGCTGCAACGCATGTATATGAGTTAAGTGTAGAAATTTTATATAAGTTTTCATATGAGCAGGCTAAACAAGATAGTGTTACTTTAAAAAATCAAAGTTTAGGTTTTGGGTATTATTGTTCATTGGAAATCTAATATGGTTTGATGATCACTTCTAACGCAACTACTTTTTAATCCCAGTAAAAAAAATATGCTCTTACGATTTTTTTGGCACCAACTCTTTTAAGGTCAAACTGAGATATTGAAATTTGGCCAGGTATGTTATCTTCTGTTTTCTTGCCTTCACAATGAACTCTATTGATTTCCTTCATAATTAATGCTTCGGATTCGGCACTTATGATTGGTGGAGACCTAAAAGTGCAGGTTTCTCTGCTTCGGCGATTAAAATTATGTTTCTATGGAATTTTGTCAAAGCTTCCACAATTGCTCACCACCTTAGCATTCTAAGTGCCTTCTACTCCCTCCTTAGCTTATCCCCCAATGCTGCTATTGATTTTCCCTTTTTAGGTTTTTGCGTTCTTTTTCCTTACTCTATCTACCTCCTTGTTACAAAAATGCAACTTTACAGGAAATTACCCGTCCTGATTTTAATTGGAATTATTAGGTCTGAGTGATTGAAGACTTGAAGTGTATTAATCAATGTTCATGCTGGGAATACCCATGTTACATCCAGAGGATTGATGCCTATATTTTTATTTTCTCCATGTATATGTTTATAATACAGTAAAAACGTTAGCTTCCCCTGAAGAATCCTCCCAACAAAGAAAATACGATAAAAGCTTTAATACATGATTCATCACCATTGAATAATACTAGATTTAATTATAAATTAAGTAAAATGAAAGAACAATATATAATTGTGTGTTACTTGAAGATAATATATTATCGGATATAAGATAGTGTTTATATCTTAAAGTGCATTAGATTACTCCTATATGCATGTGAATGTAAGAAAACAGTTGTCAAAAAGTTTAGCTAGGGAAGATATGTCTTGGAAGCAGATCCTGACTACAGGCCGGGAGAGGCGGTGTGTAACACCGCCCCCAAGTATTTGTACTTTATCAATTCATGTACTGAACCTTGATAAATGAATAAACTCATCTTTACGCGATTGTAAATTTTTATCATTCTTTTACGTGGATAGTAAAATCCACGTGGGGCCCACACCAGAGGTGGGGGCCGCCCGATATTATTGGGACCGCATATTATATTCATCTGGGTCTAGATAATATGTATATGATGGTAGATGTCCAAGTTGGGCCATATAAACCATGCGTGTTGGCCAGTTGTGCATATAAAGCCCATTTATCGGTACCGAAGGAATATCAGATAAAAAGCCATAATAAATTATGGAGACCACCAAATTAAAGATGAGGAATATACATTCATTATTATAGCCAATAATAATTGGAAGGATGAGATATATTTCATTTTACCCGATAAAATGAAATATAGTTAAAACAGTCCGGAAAATACAACTTTCGGGATCGAGTGTACACTCGGGGACACAAAGGGATGACCTCCCACACATGTGGGGGCCACCCCACGAAATCATTTGAGACAAATGAGAGAGGGGGTCGGCTGGTGTGATGGAAGGAGGATGGAAGGGGAGGTTGAGACAAGAGTTGACTCCAAGGGACCCCTCACCTCTTACCATCATAGGAGGAGCCAAAAACACCCCAATCACTCCCTATACCCATAGGCTCGACCAAGACACTCAGAGAGGAGAGAAAAGATCTGGAAATACTCCATTTTCATCCACCATACATGCACCAAGAGCAAGGGAGGAAGAAGGAAGGAAAAGAGAAGAGAAAAGAGGAGTTTAGGTGCGAAAACTTGTGATTAATAAGGTAATGACTTCATTAATCCCATTCCTTCTCTTTAATCACATTTCACACTCCTAGGATAGTTCTACACATGTAAAAGTGTAGAATGGGGGTTGAAGGGTTGGTTTATACCCAAAACGAACCTTGAGAGCCAAGTTGACGGGTTCACCGGAAAATAACCTTTTGGAGGTTGTTTGTATTGATATGGGTTTTATGATGATAAAACCTTGTTATTAACTTGTATAAGCCTATAAGGTATTTCAAGAACTTTCACGGGGTTGAAAGGGTCGCCGGAGTTGTCGCCGGAGTTGGTTGAAGTTCACCGGAGTTTCACCGGAGCTCAATAAGGGAGGCTAGAACTTCATAAGCTTCCTTAAGGTGAGAAGACGGCTATATGCTTTATAACTTTTGATTGAGGCATGAGATTACCTAAAGTAATCAAGTATATATCTTATGGAATGATTAAAGTAAATCAAGTATTGGCTTATGCCACGGTTATATATAAAACATAGTTGAAAAGCATGTTTTGTATGTTTGGTGATTAAAAATGTGATAACTTATTATGTACAATTCTCCAGGGATCCAAAATGGTATTTTTGGATCAAGGACGTCAAGGAGTACATGCGTATAAAATTTCGCGTTGATCGGACTCCGTTTGGGCGGTCAAACGGGCGTTGACCGCCGAGGCAAAGGTGATACCCGACCGGGTATGGGTACATACCCGACCGGGTATTGACTAAAAATGGCTCCAGAAGCCACTGTCCTACTAGACCCGACCGGGTAAGGGTATGGACCCGACCGGGTCTAAAGTAAAATCAGTTCCAGGGGCTTCTGCCCCGACCTACCCGACCGGGTAAGGTTGGATACCCGACCGGGTATTGGATTATGCCCAAAATAGGCAGTTTTGAGCAGGTTAACGTGGGTCGTTCAAGTGGGACCCACCCACGTTGGTCACTAGGGATTATTACATGACTATAGGACTAGGTATTGTCCATAGTTAAGTGAATGAAAAGTTAGCCATATCCAGGTTAGGGTTTGGTTAGAAGTAAGGTTGAGGTTGAGTATCCTCGGGACGGTAAATGATCCCAAAACTCGGTGAGGTTGAGTATCCTCATGACGGTAAACAATCCTAAAACTCGGTGAGGTTGAGTATCCTCAGGACGGTAAACAATCCTAAAACTCGGTGAGGTTGAGTATCCTCAGGACGGTAAACAATCCTAAAACTCGGTGAGGTTGAGTATCCTCAGGACGGTAAACAATCCTAAAACTCGGTGAGGTTGAGTATCCTCAGGACGGTAAACAATCCTAAAACTCGGTGAGGTTGAGTATCCTCAGGACGGTAAACAATCCTAAAACTCGGTGAGGTTGAGTATCCTCAGGACGGTAAACAATCCTAAAACTCGGTTGAGGTTGAGTATCCTCGGGACGGTAAATGATCCCAAAACTCGGTTGGGGTTGAGTATCCCCGGGACGGTAAACCCTCCTGAAACTCGGTAGGATATTATGAAGGTAGAATGTAGCTCTCAAGCTAGGCATTCAGGAATGGAAAGGGGATAGGTTGGGAAAGTACCTTATCTCTAAAAGACTCTTTGTGATAAAACGACCTACGGGTCAAGTATTTTACAAGTATATACATTATGTATTATCTTGGGAATGGGGTAACAATGGTTACACCTATAAGCATATGTATCACCCTATTTTTGGGTCTCGTGTCTGAAACATTAGTTATTCCTCATATAGCCTGCTTGTCACTAGTACTTCTATGGAGTACTGACCCCTTCGGGGGCCCTCACATTTTTCAGGTTGAGGCTAGAGTCCTACTACCTGCACCTTCGCCTAGGGTGATTGATCAAGGAGGAAGACGTGGTTCGTGCTTCCATTCTTATTCAAAATTGATGAACTGCTCATGGATATATTTTTAACAATGTTTTCTATTAAAACATTTGGGGGCCTGCGTGCCCGTATTTGCCACATGTGGCTAAGTATCAAACATATCTTATTTTCCGCATTTGTTTGACTAATATATATTGATGTTGATTGTATGGGTTTACTAATCGGCTTGGCAATAGAACTTAACGGACGCCTTGTATGATTTGATAAGGATGAACTACGTTGTTCTTATTGGGTTGTACGGCGGTTGTCTACGTGGCACGGACGCGGTCCGGGGCGTGACAATTAAATGGTATCAGAGCCATCGATTTCTAAACTATATGATTGACCTCTCAATATAGTATCATCAAAAAGTTTTGAACAAAACCATGAGCAAAAGTTTTTGTACTTAAGGAACCGTTGGAAACCAAGTTATTGACCTCTTATTGTTGAGATGGTACCCTTAACAGTTTGTTGGCCATAATGTTGGACCAAGGGGTGTCTTTTGTACTATTCCGTCAATTGACATTGATACGAGTCTAACGACTCATTCCAAATTTCTTTCAGAAATGGAGGGTAGACACATGGCTACGAGGAACAACCCGAGAGGGCAAACTCAGGCGACGTCCGTAGGGGCCAGCCAGGTTGCATCTCGGGGTGCGAGAGGCGGTAGGAGAGGCCGTGGAGGCCGTGGAGGCCGTGGAAGCCGTGGAGGTCATCAGGCTCAAACCGTGAGCGATGGCCATGTTAGCTCGGTGCATGGGACTCACACCGAGGATTATGACTCAACATATGTTCCCGAGACGGAACATGAGGAGACCCCATATGATGGGGGTGATACGTACACTGATGATGACAATGATGAGAGTGATGCCAAATTCGCCCAGATGGGTGAATTGTTTGAGTGGTATCAAAAGGAAAAGCTGAGGAGAGATCTTAGGCGCCAAGCTAGGCGTGCCTCTCAGGGAGGTTCGGGTCAGGTAAGCCGGGGGGCTTCAGTGGCCATTCCTGTGGCGACACAGGGGGTACAGGGGGGAGGTTTCTGTGTAAGAATCTCCAAATACCTCAAGGAGGCGAGGGCCTTGGGGTGTAAGTCATTTGATGGCAAGGGTGATATATCGGTGGCTGCCGACTGGATCAAGAAATTGAATGAGGCTGCTAGGGATATGCAGATCGGGCTTGACATAAAGCTAACGATTGCTACCAGGCTACTAGAGGGGGTAGCTGCTGTATGGTGGGAAGGCGTGGAAGGAAAGTTCCACGGTGAGACCACCTGGGAGAAATTTGAAGTAGAAAACTATAATCAGTACTACTCAGAGTTCGAAAAGAACCAGAAGAGGAAGGAGTACATGACCCTGGTACAGGAGGAGGATTGCTCGGTGAGGCAACTGGAACAAAGGTTCCGGGACTTGGCACGGTACATACCCGAGTACGCCATGGATGAGAACCGTATGGCTAATCACTTCTGGGACACCCTACACTTGGATATCCGTGATCGGGCTACCTACAATCATCACATGACCTTTAGTGAGATTGTGGATCAGGGGCTACTTGGGGAAGCCAAGTGGAATGAAAGGAAGAAGAGAGACGCCGAGGAGGCGAAGAAGAGAAGATGGGGGAATTCTGGACCCCAAGACCATTCTCGGAAGCATCACGCCGGGAATGGAAGATCATTCAGGGCGCCGGAACCACCGGCAAAGAAGAGTAAGGGCCCAGGAGGGCAAGGGCATAGCTCGGGGAGCGTGAGGCCACCAAGGTGTCCAAACTGTAACAGGAATCACTCCGGGAAGTGCAATGAACCACCCCGGTGCTACAAGTGTGGTAGCACAAGCCACCTCAAACCCTCTTGCCCAATGTTGAGTGGAGGTGGGCCATCGGGAGCTGTGGAGGCACCTACGTCTGGAAGGGGTCATGCAGGACCATCTCAGGGCGGCACGGGAAGGGGCGGACCTACGGCAAGCAATGCCGCGTCCGTTAACCAAGGTAGGACCCAGGCACGAGTGTATGCAATGACCGAGGCGGATGCGCGAGCAAACCCGGACTCCGTTGCAGGTAATATACTAAAATTTTATATGTTTCTAGGCTTATACTAAAGATATAAGTCCTAAGGGTCAATTGCAAACTGACTTAGGGTCGAATCGGGGGGAATTCAACGAAACCAGGCTGATACCCGACCGGGTAAGGCAGGTCACCCGACCGGGGTATACTGAGATTTTGGCCTGGTAAACCCACTGGAACGATTACCCGACCGGGTATCGAAGGTTACCCGACCGGGCATAATGAAAATTTTTACCCGCGAGCTTCTGGAACGGATACCCGACCGGGTACAACAGGTTACCCGACCGGGTATTGCTGTATATTGTAAATTTCGGACTTTTTCGGGGCCTACAGTTCAATTTAGGTAGGCAAGGTACCTTACATGACTTATAATTGTAGGAACGTTAAAGATTAATGGAAGGGATGCGAGGATCCTTATCGATACGGGAGCACAACGTTCATTCGTTAGTGAGGTGTTTGCCGTGGGGTTAGGCACACCTTTAGTACCAATGATGCAAACCCTTTTGGTATCTACGCCTCTAGGGGATGACGTTGAACGAAATGACTACTATCCTTCGTGTGATGTGGAGATAGGGGAGCACTGTCTAAAGGGGGACTTTGTACCGTTAGCCATGCTTGAATTTGATGCCATACTTGGCATGGATTGGCTTGAAAAGCACCATGCAAAGGTAGATTGCTACAACAAAGTGTTAGAACTCAAGGATGGTGAGGGAAATACTCTATGTTTCGAGGGGGATAGAGAAAGATTCAATCCTTGCATCATATCGGCCATACGAGCAAGGCGTATGATGAGGAAGGGATGTCTAGCTTACTTAGCCTATGTCATAGGCAAGGAAGGCAAGGGGAAGAGCCTCACAGAAGTGAGGGTGGTGAACGAGTATCCGGAGGTGTTCCCTGAAGAGCTACCAGGACTCCCACCCGACCGGGAGATCGAGTTTGAGATTGAGGTTGAACCAGGCACCAAACCCATCTCAATTCCTCCGTATCGAATGGCACCGGCTGAACTTCAAGAGTTGAAAGTTCAATTGGAAGAGCTACTAGATAACGGATTCATTAGACCGAGTCATTCACCATGGGGAGCACCCGTACTCTTTGTAAAGAAGAAGGATGGTACTATGAGAATGTGTATCGACTACCGACAATTGAACAAGGTCACGATAAAGAACAAATATCCTTTGCCAAGGATTGACGACTTGTTTGATCAATTACGGGGGGCAACCGTATTCTCCAAGATCGACTTGAGGTCGGGCTACCATCAACTAAAGATCAAGGAAAGTGACATACCCAAAAGTGCATTCCGTACAAGGTATGGTCACTATGAGTTCCTAGTGATGTCGTTTGGGCTTACAAATGCCCCCGCGGCATTCATGGACCTCATGAACCGAGTATTTCATCAATACTTGGACCAATTTGTCATAGTGTTCATTGATGACATCTTGATATACTCCAAGAACGAAGAAGAACACGAGAAACATCTAAGGCTCGTACTTGAAACACTGCGGGAGAAACAACTCTTTGCCAAATTCTCTAAATGTGAATTTTGGTTTGAGGAGATCGGTTTTCTTGGGCATGTGGTATCGGGCTCGGGCATTTCAGTTGATAACTCGAAGATTGAAGCAGTCACTAATTGGGAGAGGCCCAAGAATGTGAAGGAAATAAGGAGTTTCCTCGGTTTGGCGGGGTACTACCGCAAATTCGTGGAGAAATTCTCAGTAATAGCATCTCCACTCACGAAGCTCACTAAAAAGGGAGCTAAGTTTGTGTGGGATGACAAGTGTGAGAAGGGGTTTCTTGAGCTAAAGAAACGATTGACTGAAGCACCAGTACTTGCCCTACCCGTGCAAGGGTTGGGGTATGACATCTATAGCGATGCTAGCATCCAGGGGCTTGGGTGCGTACTGATGCAATCGGGGAAGGTGATTGCTTATGCTTCTCGGCAACTGAGGAAGCATGAAGTGAATTACCCCACTCATGACCTTGAGCTAGGGGCTGTGGTGTTTGCTTTGAAGATTTGGAGGCATTACCTCTACGGTGAGGTGTGTCACATCTATACTGATCACAAGAGTTTGAAGTACGTGTTCACTCAGAAAGAGTTGAACATGAGGCAAAGAAGATGGATGGAGTTAATCAAGGATTACAACTTGATTATAGATTACCATCCAGGTAAGGCTAACGTGGTTGCTGATGCTCTCAGTAGGAAAAGTTCATCAGGGGTTTTACTCACATGCTTACAAGCATTGAGGGCACACGTGGAAGTATCCACGAATGGGGCTCTATTGGCCAGATTTGAGGTGAGACCCACCCTATTAGACAAAATCAGAACGCGTCAAGGCAATGACGAGGAAATTCAGAAAATCCGAGAACGGATGCTGGTGGGACCCGTCGAGGGTTTCCGTGAGAGAGAAGATGGACTCCTACTATTCAAGGAGCGAGTGTGTGTGCCGTCAGATGAGGAGCTCCGAAAATCTATTCTTGAGGAGGCTCACTCATCTGCGTATGCCATGCACCCAGGTGGAACAAAGATGTACCAGGACTTGAAAGAAAGTTACTGGTGGTCGGGGATGAAGAGAGAGATTGCTGAATATGTGAGTCGTTGCCTTACCTGTCAGCAGGTTAAGGCAGAGCACCAGCACCCGGCAGGGTTATTACAGCCACTTACCATCCCAGAATGGAAGTGGGAGCATGTTACTATGGACTTCGTGGTAGGTTTGCCACGGACGGTTAGGAACTTTGATGCGGTATGGGTGGTGGTTGATAGGTTGACCAAGAGTGCCCATTTTCTACCTATCAACACTACTTATACGCTTGAGCGACTGGCCAAGTTGTATACTGATGAGATCGTGAGACTGCATGGGGTTCCGGTCACTATAGTGTCGGATAGAGACCCACGGTTCACATCACGGTTTTGGCCTAAATTCCAGGAATCCATGGGGACGAAGCTGAGGTTCAGCACGGCTTTCCATCCTCAAACGGATGGGCAATCTGAACGGGTGATTCAGATTTTGGAGGACATGTTGAGGGCATGCGCCTTAGAGTTCCAAGGAAGTTGGGACAACCAGTTGGCATTGGTGGAATTCGCCTATAACAACAGTTATCAGGCAAGTATAGGCATGCCTCCATACGAGGCATTGTATGGGAGGAAATGTCGGACACCTTTGTGTTGGGATGAGGTTGGCGAGGCCAAGCTTGAGGGTACTGAACTAGTTGAGATCACCAAGGAGAAGGTGAAAGTTATTCAGGATAGACTCAAGGCTGCCCAAGATCGGCAGAAGAGCTATGCAGATAAACGACGAAGAACGTTAGAGTTCGAGGTCGGCGATGAGGTATTTTTGAGGGTGTCACCTTGGAAAGGGATCATCAGGTTCCTCAGTCGGGGTAAGCTTAACCCACGCTACATAGGCCCATTCAAAATCATTGAAAGGATTGGGGTTGTAGCGTACCGGCTTCAGTTAACTCCAGAATTAGAAAAGATTCATAACGTATTTCATGTTTCTATGCTCAAGAAGTATGTACGGGACCCGTCACATATTCTTGAGAAACCACCGGTAGAAATCCGGGAAGACCTTCACTATGCGGTGCAGCCGGTAAAGATCACGGACCGACAGGTAAAGAAGCTAAAGAGTAAAGAGGTACCGATGGTGAAGGTACTTTGGAAGAGTGATCGTGTCGAGGAGCAAACTTGGGAAGTGGAGACCCTGATGAGGGAACAGTATCCATTTCTGTTTGACTAGACACGTGGATTTCGGGGACGAAATCCCAAATAAGGGGGGTAGAACTTGTAACACCGCCCCCAAGTATGTGTACTTTATCAATTCATGTACTGAACCTTGATAAATGAATAAACTCATCTTTACGCGATTGTAAATTTTTATCATTCTTTTACGTGGATAGTAAAATCCACGTGGGGCCCACACCAGAGGTGGGGGCCGCCCGATATTATTGGGACCGCATATTATATTCATCTGGGTCTAGATAATATGTATATGATGGTAGATGTCCAAGTTGGGCCATATAAACCATGCGTGTTGGCCAGTTGTGCATATAAAGCCCATTTATCGGTACCGAAGGAATATCAGATAAAAAGCCATAATAAATTATGGAGACCACCAAATTAAAGATGAGGAATATACATTCATTCTTATAGCCAATAATAATTGGAAGGATGAGATATATTTCATTTTACCCGATAAAATGAAATATAGTTAAAACAGTCCGGAAAATACAACTTTCGGGATCGAGTGTACACTCGGGGACACAAAGGGATGACCTCCCACACATGTGGGGGCCACCCCACGAAATCATTTGAGACAAATGAGAGAGGGGGTCGGCTGGTGTGATGGAAGGAGGATGGAAGGGGAGGTTGAGACAAGAGTTGACTCCAAGGGACCCCTCACCTCTTACCATCATAGGAGGAGCCAAAAACACCCCAATCACTCCCTATACCCATAGGCTCGACCAAGACACTCAGAGAGGAGAGAAAAGATCTGGAAATACTCCATTTTCATCCACCATACATGCACCAAGAGCAAGGGAGGAAGAAGGAAGGAAAAGAGAAGAGAAAAGAGGAGTTTAGGTGCGAAAACTTGTGATTAATAAGGTAATGACTTCATTAATCCCATTCCTTCTCTTTAATCACATTTCACACTCCTAGGATAGTTCTACACATGTAAAAGTGTAGAATGGGGGTTGAAGGGTTGGTTTATACCCAAAACGAACCTTGAGAGCCAAGTTGACGGGTTCACCGGAAAATAACCTTTTGGAGGTTGTTTGTATTGATATGGGTTTTATGATGATAAAACCTTGTTATTAACTTGTATAAGGTATTTCAAGAACTTTCACGGGGTTGAAAGGGTCGCCGGAGTTGTCGCCGGAGTTGGTTGAAGTTCACCGGAGTTTCACCGGAGCTCAATAAGGGAGGCTAGAACTTCATAAGCTTCCTTAAGGTGAGAAGACGGCTATATGCTTTATAACTTTTGATTGAGGCATGAGATTACCTAAAGTAATCAATTATATGTCTTATGGAATGATTAAAGTAAATCAAGTATTGGCTTATGCCACGGTTATATATAAAACATAGTTGAAAAGCATGTTTTGTATGTTTGGTGATTAAAAATGTGATAACTTATTATGTACAATTCTCCAGGGATCCAAAATGGTATTTTTGGATCAAGGACGTCAAGGAGTACATGCGTATAAAATTTCGCGTTGATCGGACTCCGTTTGGGCGGTCAAACGGGCGTTGACCGCCGAGGCAAAGGTGATACCCGACCGGGTATGGGTACATACCCGACCGGGTATTGACTAAAAATGGCTCCAGAAGCCACTGTCCTACTAGACCCGACCGGGTAAGGGTATGGACCCGACCGGGTCTAAAGTAAAATCAGTTCCAGGGGCTTCTGCCCCGACCTACCCGACCGGGTAAGGTTGGATACCCGACCGGGTATTGGATTATGCCCAAAATAGGCAGTTTTGAGCAGGTTAACGTGGGTCGTTCAAGTGGGACCCACCCACGTTGGTCACTAGGGATTATTACATGACTATAGGACTAGGTATTGTCCATAGTTAAGTGAATGAAAAGTTAGCCATATCCAGGTTAGGGTTTGGTTAGAAGTAAGGTTGAGGTTGAGTATCCTCGGGACGGTAAATGATCCCAAAACTCGGTGAGGTTGAGTATCCTCATGACGGTAAACAATCCTAAAACTCGGTGAGGTTGAGTATCCTCAGGACGGTAAACAATCCTAAAACTCGGTGAGGTTGAGTATCCTCAGGACGGTAAACAATCCTAAAACTCGGTGAGGTTGAGTATCCTCAGGACGGTAAACAATCCTAAAACTCGGTGAGGTTGAGTATCCTCAGGACGGTAAACAATCCTAAAACTCGGTGAGGTTGAGTATCCTCAGGACGGTAAACAATCCTAAAACTCGGTGAGGTTGAGTATCCTCAGGACGGTAAACAATCCTAAAACTCGGTGAGGTTGAGTATCCTCAGGACGGTAAACAATCCTAAAACTCGGTTGAGGTTGAGTATCCTCGGGACGGTAAATGATCCCAAAACTCGGTTGGGGTTGAGTATCCCCGGGACGGTAAACCCTCCTGAAACTCGGTAGGATATTATGAAGGTAGAATGTAGCTCTCAAGCTAGGCATTCAGGAATGGAAAGGGGATAGGTTGGGAAAGTACCTTATCTCTAAAAGACTCTTTGTGATAAAACGACCTACGGGTCAAGTATTTTACAAGTATATACATTATGTATTATCTTGGGAATGGGGTAACAATGGTTACACCTATAAGCATATGTATCACCCTATTTTTGGTTCTCGTGTCTGAAACATTAGTTATTCCTCATATAGCCTGCTTGTCACTAGTACTTCTATGGAGTACTGACCCCTTCGGGGGCCCTCACATTTTTCAGGTTGAGGCTAGAGTCCTACTACCTGCACCTTCGCCTAGGGTGATTGATCAAGGAGGAAGACGTGGTTCGTGCTTCCATTCTTATTCAAAATTGATGAACTGCTCATGGATATATTTTTAACAATGTTTTCTATTAAAACATTTGGGGGCCTGCGTGCCCGTATTTGCCACATGTGGCTAAGTATCAAACATATCTTATTTTCCGCATTTGTTTGACTAATATATATTGATGTTGATTGTATGGGTTTACTAATCGGCTTGGCAATAGAACTTAACGGACGCCTTGTATGATTTGATAAGGATGAACTACGTTGTTCTTATTGGGTTGTACGGCGGTTGTCTACGTGGCACGGACGCGGTCCGGGGCGTGACACGGTGAATTTGGGAGAAGAGTTGGTGGGGTGTGGCGATTTGGTTCTTTGACTAGCAAAAGAGAAAAGCGAGAGGGAAGGCCTGAGGAGCAGGGATGGTCATGTTCAAGGCAGTGCAGAGCGGCTCTCTATTCCGGCTGGAGGAGAATCGGTGCACGGACTTCAATGCAGGGACACTTTTCTAGCAGTTCCTCCACAAGGCTGCGTCTAGGCGGCTGCCACCAGAGACTTCGAGTGCAGAATTTTCAGCCGACTGTATATTGTCTATTCAAATAAAATGTTTGGACAAGTATGTAGAATAATATTCCGTATTATCATTTGAACAATTTTATACTTCCATAATTTTTCTTCCGTACAAATTTCTTGCATCTATAAACATCGAGAATTAGCCACTTCTTTTGAAACACGGTCCATGTTTCCTGAATTAGTGTTGGGTTTGTGGTTGTAATGGCTTAGCTATTGTTGAGGCATGAATAAGTATGAACATGAGTTAAATTGGATCTTTCTATTGCCATTTTTTGATACATCTGGTGAGGGACAACAAGGTATTCATAATCAATCTTACTGTTCTGAAAATGGTGTGAATGAGTATATCTTATCTTAAGGTGCAAAACCAAATAACATTCATGTGTAGTTCGCTCACGTTACATGTTCCTTGTTTAGCCTCATCTATAAATAAATAAAGAATAGAAAAATGTATTCCATATACATTAATAACATTGGGCATTCAACTACTCGCGCAACGCGCGTATGAAAACTAGTTGTAAAATAAAGGAGTTAGAGGATATTCTTTCTAAAAGAGGTCAATATGAACAAATTGTTTTTCTATTAAATAACATACCAAAGGACACTTGAATTTTACAATCCTAAAGAAGGATTAGGTATTCAAAACTAAGTAACTTAAAGAAAGTTAATTGCAAACAATTTTATGACATTAGGTACATGAAGTTAGGGTAGCAAAAATAATGTTTTCACTAGTGCTTCTGAAATTAATCAGGAAGAAGAAAGAAAAAAAAGCAAAAATAGAGCTAAAACTGAAATTGGTTTTGATTATACTGCTCTTAATGACAACTATGCTACAAGAAAAATTCATTTGTCTGATGACTATATTGCCCTCTCCCCTCCTAAAAATTAAAATGTGTCCAATTTGGATGAAGCCTCTACATCTGATCTTCATTCTTCTTTTGAATAAGAACGAGAACAGTTTAAAAGGAGAATGGAGATCAGACATTTCTGAAAAGGATAAAAAGAAAAATCATTTGAATAAGAAAAGGGACTTATCTTCTTCTCCACCTCCCCATGCAGGGAAATCTTTTTCTAATCACCATGCTGGAAGGATAACCTGAATAATTCCGAAGAATGTTGTTGTCAAGGAGACAAGACTTGAGCAACCCAAGAATAATTCTAAAATCTTTAATTTTGTTAGGAAAGTCTTGTAATAGTTTTAGAAATTGTTTTCGTTCTAGTTCTTCTGCTAGTTCCTCTAGTTATATTTTAGACAGTTCAACTAAGTTTTCTCCTTCTCATTCTAGATCTGTTGACTCTTATTCTGGTGATTATTTTAAGTTTGATAATTTAATTTCTCTCTTTCCAAATGTGATGCGAGTTATGTGAATACCAATTAATGATTGTGTTACTTTCTCTACTTGTGAAGGTGCTTGTTTAAATTATCCTTTGAAAGTGTATTGAATCAAACATCTTAAAAGATTAGCAAGAGATAAAATACTCACAATGTTAAGGATACTCACTCATCTTTCAAGAACAAATCTGAACATGTTTCAAAGATCAAGCAGTCTGGATTCCTAAAAGTGAAGTTAATAAAACCGCTTTAATTATTTCTTCAAATAAACAGGACGGACCCGGCCATCCTTCCTTATAAGGCTACCTAAGGTTACTTAATTTTTGCAGGTCAGTCATGTGTGGTATCTAGATTCAGGTTGCTCCACACACATGACTCGGAAGAAAGAGCTGTTGAGCAACTACATCGACAAGTTCGGTGGAAAAGTGAGATTTGGAAACAATGAGTCTGCTCCTATCCTTGGATACGGAGATATCTGTAACAGGAAGGTTACAATCAAAGATGTGTCAAACGTTGTTAGATTGATGCACAACCTGTTTAGCATCGGTCAATTCTGTGACAAAGGAATGAAAGATATCTTCTGAGCTAACCAGATGCGTGAAAGATGATCAAGGGAAGACTTTTCTGAGGTGTAGACGCAAATCACGCCTATACATCATTGTTCTGAAAACTGTCTATCCCTCTTCTGATGTCTGTCTACTGTCAAGAGCATCTTCTGAATAAAATCAACTTTGACATAAGAGGATGTCTCATCTGAACTACATGGATCTACATACATTGTCATCAAAGAAGTTTGTTACTGGTCCGCCAGCTATAGTTACTAACCATAAATTCATGGGAGAACTGTCAAATAGACCCTTATACTATATCAAAAAAAGCAATTAAGCCCTTGTACTATAAAAACACCCAATCAAACCCTCAAAGTTATAAAAAAACACTCAAATCGGCTATATAGCTGGTTGTTCACCAGTTTTCCGGTTGTCCACTTACGTGACTGCCACGTGAAGTATGTTTTCTCTCTCTTCTCATTTCGTTGTCGGATTTCTTCGGATCCAGCTCCTCTGCCTTACTTAGGCAAACAAGGAGGGTGCCAGGCCATTTTGAACCATCAGATCAAAAAACTAATGGCATAAGATGAGTGGGTCCTTTTTGGACACAAATCTCAATGCCTCTCTTTTAATTCCTGCCCTCTATATTGGTAAGGTCCTCTGCCATAAGGCAGAGGATTCTAATCCGATTTCTTTCCATATGTTGTTTCTTTCATCAAAGTATTCTTCTCCCCTTAATTTTTGCGTCGTTCTTCTGTTTTTCACTATGGTCTATGGCGATTCTTTCTATTTTGACTCGTGTATTATTATTTCTGCTTTTCATCATCTACTTTAAATATTTCTTCTATATAAAAAAAATAAAATACGAGATTTTTTAAATCTAGCAGAAAATAGCTCCAAAGTCCAAACCGAACTTGCACTTCAATAGCATTTATGGTTTGAAAAGATTCTTGAGGTCCGATTAGCAATCTCAATTTTTAGATCCAGTCTACATTTAATCATCTTCATTATATCTGAAGTAAATAGAAACAGGGGCGGATCCAGGATATTTAGTGGTTGGGGCACCTATTAAGAGAAAATATTTTTTTTTCATAATGTAGTACATATAAATTAAGTTCACATGATTGAATAATCCAAAATTAACACACTATAAAGTATTATGAAGTACATTTTATTACAATGGCTCTCTATATATGAGTTTTTTTTTTTTTTTGAAATCAACCCATCACAATTTGGTTTCTAACGGCATCAAATATATCTATTTTAACATAACAAATAAGACACAAACAAAATGTCTTGTCCTCTTGTATCAAATTAGTTATGAACAAAAACGAAATAATTATAAAAAAACTAAAAATAAATAAGTGTACTAAGTCTTTGTAACACAAAAAAGATTTAGCCCTGACTTGGAACGGAGCTTGAGAGCTTCTCTCTCTAAAACTTCGGAGTTTCCTAGGGTTTACGCCGCTAGGTTGAGTTTTTCCGTTTTCGATCTCCCGATCGAAGAACGGTGGTTCTCTGGGCTTGCGATTATCGCAAGGCTCGGCTTGGTGATCTGGTTTCTGGTTTCGGTCGCGGAAGAGAGGAGAGCTCAAAGGACTCGGACATCGAGACCGAAGGAGGTTGACTGCAGATGAAGATGAATGGAATCGGTAAGCAGGGGATTGGAGGACAATTTCACGCAGATGAAGAGAACCGAGCAGTGCAAGACACGGAAAAATTGGCGGTGGTTGATGCTGACGAAGGGGCGGTCGAGTTGGAGGTAAACCGCATTGGTGCAATAACAATTGTCACAAGAGTGCGGCCTCCTCCAGAACCACCACCAAGGGTTGATCGACGCGGTTTGGAGTTTGATTATTTATTTTTTCTGCACTTTAATTTCCAGGTTAAGACGTTTGTGTGTTGTTTTATTTTATGTTTTAAGACTCTTGCATTAAGTTTGGGGGATGAGAGATCTGCGGTAACCGTCATTGGCTTTAAATTGCCCAATTCAGGTCTAGCGAGTTATACTGCTTTTACACATGTGGTTAACTCTCAGTCTCGGCCACGGGCGGATGGTTATATGTGGTTCTTTTGTTATCCTGTACCCCTGCTGAATGTTGTGTTTTTAATTTAAGCCATCTGTGTGACGAAAAAAAGTCTTTGTAACACAACAAAAGCCTAGTATCATTAGCAATTTAGCACCCTTATAAAAACTGAAATTAATAATTTATAAAATTTAAAATGTAATCTAACAGTGGAATAGAAATAAGTAACTTATAAATTTGTTATTAAAATCATAACTAGAAAGCAAAATAGTAAAAAGAAAGAGCAATACAAATTTATTAACCTGAAAAAAGAGAATACAAATGTAAAAGTGGATCTCCAAGATAAAGAAAGTGGAGAAAATGTTTTATATGGGATATTTTGACTTTGCACCCCGTTATTTGGTTGATATTGCACTTTGCACCTCATTTTAAAAACTTTTAGACTTTGCACCCTATTTCCCCTAAAATGTCTTTGCCTCTGCACCCCATTTAAGAATTTTTCTTCACAAAATGTTGTAGATAGGGTGCAAAGTCTAAAAGTTTTGAAAATGGGGTGCAAAGTCCAATATCACCCAAAAAATGGGGTGCAAACTCAAAATTCCCCTTTATATAAACTTGGAAGAAAATTTAATTGGCAATCTTTTTATTTACACTCTTATGAGCGAATGACCTCCAGCCATTCACAAATAAACCTTGGGAGCGAATGACTCCCTAAGATATTTTGCCCAGTAACTTCTTTCATAATTACATTATTAAAATAATAGGTTAAAATGATGAGGAGTGGGGAGTTGGGGTCCCTTGGGGATCAGGAAATAGGAAGATACTGTCGTTCAAGTATGTGATAATACTAATGGGGGCATCTTTTATTTTCAATGGGGGCACCTCCCTTTTTATATAAAATTTAGTGATAAAAAGTAAACAAAACTACAAAGTCATTGGGAACATGTGCCCCATCGGTTTTCAAATGCATCCGCCCCTGAATGGAAAGATTGAAAAGAAAAGAAAAGTTGAAAGTTAGGGTCAAATAAATAGAGAGAAATCGATGTATGTGAATTTGTTTCTAGTTGGGTGCTTCATATGAATTTGTTTTTACGTGAAAACAAGGACCTTCGAAAATCAATATTAGATGAAGAAGAAAGTTTTAATTTAGAGATGGAGGAAATTACAGGGGGCG